GGAAAGAAATACATTAATTCCATGACAATATTCAGTTTAAATGAGCCCCACCTGAACAAAAGGCATTTATTTTGCACTGTGGCCCCTCTACCATCTTCATGAAGAACAAACAGAACATTATTAATCTTTTGTTCACATTTTACTAGTAATTCAATAGGACAAAACCATTAGGAGGGCGAAGAAAACAACTATTTCTATTAAAAGCAGAGCTAAGCAGCTTGATTTCCAAACCCTCTCCTACACTGACTAATGTTTAATAGTGAGACCCAAAGGATTTAGGTCCTGTATCTGCACACAAACATCTTGCCAGTTTCTGACAAAGAAGGAAGAACTGAGAAGGAGGAGATGTACAGCAGGGTTTCCTAGCCAGTTCAACTGAAGAATATCAACATGTTTGAAATTGGAACATACTGGTGAAACGACCAAACTTTAAAAAGGTTTTTACAGTGGTTAAAAATAATTTACAAAACAAACCAATCCCTCTTTAAAAAGGTTTTTACAGTGGTTAAAATAATTTACAAAACACACCAACATATAAAACAAACAAACCAATCCCCTCTTCCCTGCAAATGCAGAAATTTATTTCAGCTCTAACAAAACTCACTCCTGATCGCTGGCATTCTCTGTACCTCACTTTAAAATCCAAACTTCTCATCACATTCCTTCTGACACCTCAAGCCAAGCAAGATCTGTCATGCACTGGTCTAACATCCTGCCAATACTGACAGGAGCTTCCTAAAAACCAGTGAATTTTGCCTATATTAAGTCCTGCTCACCTCTTTTCTTCTTCTCTACCAGGTCACCAGTTTTCAAGTAACTTAGGAATTTAGTTATCTTGGGAATTATATTTGTCTATCAAATTCAGTTGAAAACAGTCAACAGTGAAGAGAAGAGATCCCATTTTCCTCAGAAACCCAGGCCAAAGGGTAACTTCACCTTTTGACCAGAAGCCTGAATTTGGGGGAGGGAATAAAACAGAAGAACCAAGAATCACACAAAGCAAAACATATTTTCCTCCTGTACCTTATCTATTCCATTACTGCAGAGTTATCAGGAAAAAACTTCTTTTAGTTCTTTGCACCTCAGTGTACTCAAGGGCTGCATTGAGCAAACACCACAGGTATCAATTAGCAAATTTTATGACTTCATGCTACAAACGACTTTTTTGACTTGTGTGCCTGATTCTCCAGCGCCTGATAAACTAGTGTTTGTCTCAGTTTACTCATGGATGTTTAGCAAAGCTGGGACACACATCAGTGTGTTGGAGTCAGAGCACCACAACCTCTTTGCAAAGCACACAGGGAACTCCTAAACTCCAGATGCTGATTTCAAACTTACACCAGCCTCAGTGAATTGGCATTACAGACTGATCAATCATGCTGATACCAAAAATGTAAAGGCAAAACCAGCAACTATATAAAGGTTATTTTTGCATCTCTTAAATACCAAACACATACTGACCAGCAAGGCAAGTTTGTGGTACTTCTGTTTGAGCTCTGCTGGAGTGTCCGATGGCTTTGCACCCAGGACCTGGTACCAATCCTTCTGGGCCATCCTTTCCAAGGCCTGGCTGCCTTGGGAATAACTTCCTCAGCACTGTGTAGGAAAATAAATATCATTACAACTTGACAGAAAAACAGAAAAAGCAAACAGGAAGACATGTGCTAAAGCACAGGACCAAGAACCAGCCTGCAGCCCTCGAGCACAGCCACAGCCCTGAACAAGACCTACTACGCAGAACCTCAGTGGTTCCATCCCAGAGGTTGTCACACATCAGAGATGGAAGCTGTGATGCATTCCCTGTCCAAGTGCCTTAGTATATCATGTTTCAGAAGCAATTCACAGTCCTTTGCACAAATTATTTTGTGGATGAGAAGCTCCCCATGAGCTGCAGTTTAAAAACACACACTTCTTAGTTTGAAGCAATCCTGCAGCTAATACATGAACAAATGAAGTACATGAAAGTGTGACATTTTTTCTCAACTTGGGAATGACACACAGGTGAGAAGACTAAGAAGTATGTCTTGGTTTTCACACCACAACATTCACAGTAAGGAAACTCCTTCATCCTGCTGGGCGAGAAGACTTAACTACTTTTAGCACGAAAGTAGAAGAGCACATAAAAACAAGTAAACAGAAATTAACCAAATATAAAGCACAGAACACTAAGGGAAACCTGATTAGTTGTGTGGTTTTTAATTTTGGCCTTCTATCATGGAGTCAGGGGTCCATACGAAGAACTAAATCACTGATAATTAATTAAATGCCATTACAGCGTGGCAATGCGTGAGCTCCAGGCAGGTTCTCCCCAAGCTTGCGGCAGGTGATTGATCACGAACTTTCTGATACAAAATAACCCTGCGGGTAAGCAAGAGCTGTGCACACACACAACGTTTATACATCTTTTTAACTACTGAACGAAAGAAAAGGAACTTACTTCCCCCGCCTCCCCCTTTCACCGCGGGAGGAGACAACTCTCGGTTTTCCCAGCGGGCAGAGCTACGAGCAGAGCAAGGACACGCAGAGCTCCGTTCCCC